ATAAAATTAAAGGTGTACACAATTCAATATTTTTTAAAATGTTAAAAAACAAATAAAGTTATTCTTCCTGGCTAATTATAAATATGGTTTGCCCTGAATAACAACTGTTCATAACTAATGCAGTACATATCTCTAGGGAGAGGTGTAAAAAAATCTCCAACAATTACTGAATTAGGGAATGTATTTTCCAAAATGTAGTAAAAAGGACTCCAGAAACATGCAAGGCATCCAGTCCTACCTCAAAAAATCAACACAGGACAAAATTCTCAATAATTATGAAACCATGATATTAGAAGCAAATAAGTTTAAAATCTTTTCAAAGCATGTGTTTAAATTTTAAAAGAAAAAGGTGAATTTTAGAAGACATTTTCATTCAGAACATAGATTTTATTGGATTCTGCAAAGATAACATCAGTTTAAAATATTAGAGAGCTGCTCACAAATGCTTGTACTCATAGGCAAGTGGTATAAACGGACTCAAGGAAGAAAATACTTTGGTGCAGAAATCAATGAACCCATAATAGGGTTGATGTAAACATCCGGTTTTATGCATTGGTGGATAGTCTTCTCAAGTGCATAAGGTCTAATCAGAAGATGCACTTGCACAAATATTCAAGGCACATTAAAAAGTTCTGCCAATAGGACGGCAGTTCTGTTTTACAGAGTCCATTAACATCTGCAAAGTATAACACTAACAGGTAGTAGGAAAACCTATAGTCCATTGTAATGTGTAAAAATATAAAATAAAAATTCTGCTCATTGTAATAAATTACACTGTATCTCAGTCATGCAAAAACAATAGGTACATTGAGGTCAAAGTTTTACGTACTTGTTTAATACTTATTTTATAGTTGTCTTAACTGATATCTACTTTAAAACATGCTTGGCTTCTGAAACAGGTAAGTATGAAAACAAACTTTTAAAAAAGGAAATAAATGCCTACACTATTGGAAGGAGTTCCAATGATTGTATCACTTTTTTACAACATTCATAATAATATATTGGTAGGATATATTAATATATCCTACCTATATATTACTTTTGTAATTGGATTAATTATCCTATTTTCATATTATCATTCCTTTAAGCATGGGGAGTGTTATCCTCTTTTTTTTCACTACACTGTATTAAAACCAGAAAATGAGTAAGCTGTTTGGGGTCATGTTCATCATTATGAAAAGTGAACACAAGACTAGGAACTATAATTGACAAAGGAATAAACCAATTAAAAATTAACATGCAGTATAATGCTGAAGACAAATTTCCTTCCCTGCATAAAAATAGCAGAAGACCTTTCATAATTAGTTACTATAGTTACATCCATCTGTAGTAATAAAGTTCTCTATGTTTTTATCACATTTCAGATGATATCATGACAACCTACATTATAGTGGTAATCATTAATGTGGAAACCAAGTTATTCAAATTACACAAATTATCATGAAACATACTATCAGCGCTTGTAATGTCATGGTCTTAGTTTTAAATTTAGAACTTTTAGAAGTTCTAAATTTTAGAACTTCAAACTGGTCATCATATTACTTATTTTTGCATACACAGAATCTCTTCATGTATGCTTAATGTAGAAATCACTAGTTTTTCAGCTTCATGTACAAAGAACATCAAGTGCTATAATTATAATGATTATAATCACCCACATGAACACTATATTACTCACATCTGATTCAAAGAAAAAGAAACAACTATCAATGACTTCTTCGTAGCTTTAAAGGGATATTCTTATGTGTGAAATTTTGTTCATTCTATTCAACTCCTGCTACTGTACTCCCTCAAAAACGGCAACAATTCTTTGAAAACCATCCCTACTGATGCTACACTAAAAAGTCTGACAGTATAAATCAATCTTATCTATATTGTTTGTCCTAGAGGCTAATTTAAAATTGTGAGAGGGGAAAGGAAAGCATTTTCAGGTGCTGTGAAACCCCCAAAATGAAACAAATGCACCCTAAGATTCCTTATGCTTGCTGTGGCTTTCTCATATACTTTGCTTAGACTGAGAACAAAAGCTTTGGAAAATGTCCAACAACTTTGTCACACACAAGTCTCTTTCCCCCAGAATGTTCCTCAACTGTGGTTGCAATAAATATGTATTTCTGCTCTCTCTCTCTCTCTCTCTCTCTCTCTCTCTCTCTCTCTCTCCTCTCTCTTTCCTTCCCCATGGTAACAATGAAAATGGGTTACTCAGTCTGATGAAAATGTTCATCTTTCCTGTAAACAGTGTATATAGATCAACACAAGAATGGAATTTCTTTTCAAGCCCTATTATTCAGCTGCTGATGTGTGGCAAGAAAGTTCAAGGTGGCAACTGCAGAAAGAATCCTGTAAACCAAATGCGCTGTATTGTAGCAAAGAAAGCAAAAATAATCTAGAAATTTGTTATTACATGCAACTTTAGTAGTCAGAATATACCAAATCATCAAACAAAAAGTAGAGAACCCTGAAAATAGGGAGACACAATTCTGATTTGGTTTGGTTTTTGTTTTACAGTGTTGGTCACAAAATGAATACATGCTTAATTCTTTTTGGAAACCCATATTTTATATGCATTTTAAAAGAGATGGAGGCACAGAAAAAAGCAGGCTCAGGAAACATCTATTCCTGCTGAGCAAAACATGCAGAAGAACAATAATCAACTCTTAGGCACTACAGCTTGTTGAGATGTCTAATATACAAAGAAACATCCAAGTAATTGTCCCACTTATATTGCTTTTCCCCCATCTCCTCACTTTCCACTACTAATCTGATTGTCTTCTCATTTGGCTGCCTTAAGTGAGCATGCTTTGTTCTCCCATTAACCCTTTTGTTTACTTTCAAACTGTGAGCTGAAGACAAGGAATTCATCAGACAGCCAGACTTTGGATATCAACTGGATGAACTCTTGTCTATTTCCCATGTAAGAAGAAAGCCTTTTTTCATAGTTCAAAAGTGAGTCAAAAATCACAAAAAGCAACCTTTCTAAGGCTTAACAGTCACCTTTTCTGCTAGTAGCCAATGATAACAATTCTCATGGAAAAAGAGTTTTGATTTGTGTTCTGAAAGAAGTTACTGATTGGATTTGAAAGTACGACTTTTTTTTTTAAAAAAAGGAATCACCAGTTATAACAAATAGTTGAAAACAAAATCTCATACATGTCGCAAGTTCCTTTTTAACTAACAAGAGTTTAATATCCAAAAAAGAGGTCACAGAATTACTGTTTGAAGAAACTTTTTCTAAAGGGTTATTTTATTTTCATGGCAATGAGAAGACAGAGACACCAAGTGGTACAGTAATCTGGTGCCAAAGCTATGCTTAGAAAGAGGGCACTGACTTCAGACAGAACTTTATAACTTTCCAGTATTTTATAATACAAATTGACAGTCGGAAAAAAGCCCTGTGTTATGATAGTTTTAGTATTAAACAGCTATTGTGGCAAAAATCTGAAAGGAACAAATTCAGGCCAAAGAAGAACCTAGTCCTGCATCTCCCTGAACCTTCTGAAATAAAAAATCCAAATGGCATTTTATTCAACTCCTGAGTATAAAACAACGTTTGTCGAAAAGTTCTCCTACACAAGCCTCATTGATATGACCAGCAACTGTGACAGAAAACTAGTGTTCAATGTGTTTATTTCCACAGGCTTGCCCATAGCATTATTTTTAGATTGTGGTCCATTAGTATCACCGTGCTAATTCTTTTTCTTTCCTGTTCTGTTATCCTTCATGATTGCCCAAACCTGTCACCTCTGGGTCAATTCTAGAATGACCTCTGATATGCTAACATTCCCTTGTCTCTGAAGTCTTCCCCAGTGAAAATCAACTTCCAGAGGGATAGTCAAAGGGCCAGCCTTATTCAACCACCTAACATGAAATCAAGCAGAAAACAAGAAAGGCGATTGACATCTTATTGGCATTTGCCACACTAAATATGCCACTTACTAAGGCAACAACAATTTGGAGAATGAAGAACATCCATTAATGACAAGCATACCACTAAATGAGTGGGAAGGGAATACATGGGTGTGATCTAACTAGTGAAGAGCAGAAAAGGAAAATAGGCGAGACTGTTTAATTTTTACTGTGGAAAGAGGAAACATTAAAAAAAAAACCTGAAGAGAGATGTATATAGTTGAAACGATTCAGACCTGTGCCACTAATTAAATAATGCCCAAATCTAAAGGAGCCGGCTGAAAGGCGGAGAAGTGAAGGAGCTCAGTCTGCAAAGCAGGAGGCAACCATTCGTTATTTGCCTTCTTCTCCACCTTTCTGCCAACCAAGGAACGTCAGAAGGGACATGCCTGGTATCCCAGTCGAACTTGCCCGCTTGTCCTAAACTACCGCACCCCGCTACCTGCCTGGGTGCAAATCTTAACCACCCACTTTGCTTTTTTCTCCCGTCTGACTCAGCAACAAGAGATCTGCTCCCGAAGGCAGTTCCACCGGACGGTAGAGCCCCACTTTCCAAGGAAATTTTCCTATTCCCGCATAATCCTGGCAATCCGGAGTAGCGGAGACAGAAGGAGCTTCGCGCTTATTCTTCTCCGGCGTCTGCAAAACTGCAGTTCTCTCCCCGCCACTCCGGCTTGGATTTTGCAGCGTTTTAGCTGCAAGGACGACAACGGAGAGCAATGCAAAACGCCTTCCCGCCCATCTACATGCCGGTCCCAAAATCTCTTCGGGAAAGAGTTTGGAGCGGCCGCCCCGGGGAGTTGAACCCGGCTAAACTCGGTGGGACTTTCTTTCAACTCCCGTGACACGCAGCGGAGCTGCACCGGGGCAGGAAAGTGGCTGGAAAGCCGCGTCTCCTCCTCGCGCTCGGACTTCCCTGCTCCAGCCTCCGTGCGTCCGCCTGAACCAGTGGAGGCGAGAGAAGCGGAGAGGGCTCGCTTTTGCCTAGGTTTGCCCGGCCGTCCGGGCAAAACGGACGGGGCCGCTCCGTCCAACCTTCGGGAAGGCGGCCGTCCAGGTGCAGTAAGAGCCCTGCGAAGAGAAGGCAGCCTTACCTTGCGCAGCCGAACCGGGGCTGCTGGCACTCAGGATAGCCAAAGCGGGCAATACGACCATCTGCAGTAAGTATCCCAGTCCCAGTCCATAGCGGGCAGCGGCGGCTTCCAGCCCTTTCCCCATGGCTGCTTCGGAGGAAAACGACTCGAAGCCAAGAGCCCTCGAAGCCCGAGTCCAGCTCGAGCCCTTCCCGCCGTTCTCCACCTCCTTCGCGGCGGCCGCGGTGGCGGCGGTTCCTCCGTGAGCTCTCGTCCTCCCGGCCCTCTCGACTTTCCGACGGGGAGGGAGCAGTCGCGGCGGACACCAGCCCGCCACCCGCTTGCGGAGCGCTGCGCTCCCCCGCTTGGCCTCAGAGCAGGGCAGAGAGTGCTGGTCTCCCCGCCCCGCTCCTTGCAGCAGTTCAAGCCCCACTTGGCGACCAAAGCGACCCTCCGCAAGAGTCCCTTGCCCGACCGTTGCGGCGCTGCTTCTGCTTCAACCGCCCAGGCTTGGCCGGTAAACACAGCCGGGGCTCCACCTCAGGTGGGTTGCGCGGTCCTTAGCCCAAATTGCGCGCGGTGGGAAAGGCGTCCAGGCGACGGCGACTCCGAGACGAGCAAGAATGATCATTTCATAGTCTGGCCAAGAAGTCGGAGGGAGCTCCTGGATGCCAAGACTGGAGTGAGAACGGAAGCCGCACCGGCTCCCTCAGCATCCCTTCCCAACTCCCTCTAGAGACGCGGCGACCGACAGAAGCACACTCCTCTTAGCGCGACGCCGCCGGCGTGAAAGCGGAGCGAGAGAGAGCGAGCCAGCGCGCTGTTCTCCCTCTGCTTTCCCGCCCCTTCCTCCCGATGTTGGCCACGAGCTGAGGAGCGAAGCCCCGGCTGAGGCACCTCGCGGTAGCCAATAGTGCTCGGCTTCCCCAGGAACACTGCAAACACCGGAGCTGGACTTTAGGAGGGGAGTGGCTCCTCCCTGCTAGTGCCGCCTGCGCACTTCAAGGGTGGAGGATAGGCAGGCGGTGGTGCCGGAGTGGATTCGCAATCCTAAACGCTCTCTTCGACATTTCCAAGACTGGAGAAGAGAGAAGCGAGACAGCATCCTCTACATGCAGCAAGCGGGATTTTGAAAAGCGCTTACTTTACCCCTTCCCCCCCCCCCTTCCCTCGGAATCCGGAATAAGAAGGTCACGAAAATGGCTTTCCGCAAAAGTAGGTTGTTGCGGGAAGTGGAAACGAGGGGGGGGGGGAATGCTGCACGCACCACTTTTGAACACCCGAAGAAAAGCAACAGGATGAAATGAATAAATAAAGGAGTAGGTGGATGTGAGGTTTCTGCCAGGCATTTGCGAGTGTCTTATTAGAGCGTAAGCCTCATAGAATAGGTAGGGATTCATTTCTGAATAACCTTGTTTAGGATTGAGCAGTGTGGATCAACTAGGAGATGCTCGCTGTTTTGGATCGAAGAGCACTATCCATGTGTGCCAATAGTTGAGTAGTTATGAAAATGCCACCTACCAGTGTCTTTTTACCAGCACTTTCACCAGCTATAAGGGATGCAGGGCTTGCCTTCTGGAGTAGCTGATTGTAGACAAGAAGAACTGAAGGCAGAGCATCAGAACACATTCACTGTAAAGAGGATTCGGATTGATGCTAGTTCCTAACCTGGCAATAAATTTGGGGTTCTCTAAATAATAGTTGCACTTCTAATGGAAATAAGTGGTTACTAAGGTAAAGATAGAGACTTCCTCTCCACTCCTGATAATTCAGTGGATAATTCAGTTTTATGTGCAGCTATACAAGACTTCTTTGCTATTTTCTTTCTGAATTTTTAAAAAATGTTTCAAACCCCTGTGAGCCATCAGATTTCTTTTACCAAATATATATTTATTAAAAATTTTAAAAAAGGTACAAGGTAATAATAGGCAGTAAATGAGGGAAAACAGAAATCAAAGAAAAAGCAAAAAGTTTTTTAAAAAGAAAAAGGTTAATAAGAATAGAAAGGAAAAGCATATAAAGAAATGGTTTCTGATATTCTTCATAGCAGTTATAAGTACAAATATATTTTACCTTTTTCTCTAAAGTTAGATCCTATTACTCTTCTTTCTATAATCTATACTGTCTAATTGTCAAAAACATAAGTCACAAATTCCTTTTTCACTTTTACACAAAGCGTCCAGAAGAGACTTCCACTAAGCAAAAAAAACCACCGATGATGTCTCTTCTCTAATCAAAGTAGTTAATTTATCCATTTCAGCAAAGTCTGTCAACTTCACTAACAATTCATCCATAGTGGGGTAGTGTCAAATATTTCCATCTTTGTGCATACAATAATCTCTCAGCTGTGACTATATATGTTTTGGGAAATGAATTGTTTTCAAGGAAGTTGAGTACAGGAACATTTCGATAAGACCATAAGCTCATACTCAAGAACAAGGCAAAATTCACTAGCTGAGCTCACACATTGCATTTAATTTGTGTTTGGACCCAACATGCTGAACCACAATCTAGCCAAGTGCATTTTAGCTTAATATAATAATTATTAAGTTATCCATGGGTTCATGAATACAGCTAGTGTGCATTGTTTGATTTGGGCTTAGAATAATATAGGAATCTAGTCTTTGTAGCTTGTAAAGCACAGTTTATGACTTGGTATTCTTTGAAGCTTGCCTCTGTGGTTTTGCAAACTGTGGTAAAATAAACCATGGCTTAGCATATTGGAACAATGCACTCTGATAAATATGAACCTGTAGATCAGAGCTGTGTAACCTGATGCCTTCCAAAAGTGGTAGGACTAAAAAAAATTATTTTCCCTTTGTGCTGAGTCCTTCCACTGACCTTATAAACATATTCTAGTAAATTTCTTCCTAACAATATAGAAGTAGTTTCCTATTTCTTCTAGGGTGTTTTGTTAATCTCCACTCTTGTCTAGAATTATTTGATGGTGTCTTCTTTAGATCCTAATTAGGTGTGACTCTGTTTAGCTTTTCAAAATCAGCCTAGTTTGACTAGCGTTAACACTTGACACCAATATAGTCTGCATGTTGAGACTATAACTGCCAGAAATCCCGAAATATCTGGACAGCTTATGAATAGAAGGCACAGGTAGGCCTCAGAAGATGTGGTCCGGATAGAACCAACTTCTGGTTGCATTATTTTTTTTAAAAAAGTATAGCATTTTGCATCATTGGGCATAACCAAAAGAAGAAAAAAAGAAAAGACAAATGCCCATTTTTATAAATGTGAGAAGACAGATTTCACCAATATGTACTGGTTCCCATTTCCTATTCCTTGAGCACTCTAAGGGTGAAAAAGAATAATCAAATTGAAATAATAAATCAAATGCATGCATTTTCTAAGAAATCTGTTTGAAAAAGCAATAGGTTTTGCTTACTAAGTTAGGAAAACAAAGCATTTATTTCTTGCCTTGTTCCATATATACTGCTATTTTGCTAAAATACCTAGTCACAATTCCTGGAACTGCTTTCTGGCCAACTAATTAAAAAAAAACAAAATTAACTCTGTAACTCAACATCTGTTAATCGTGTTAATAGCTTATTTGTTTGCTGCATAGTAAACTAAGGGAGACTCAACTTAAGATACATGCAAACAATTAGTATGAAAATGCTACTTGCTTCACTGTGCATTGCCCTAATGGATTACTCATTATTAGGTGTGGTAGACATTAGGCTTTTGTGCATTTAACCAATTAAAGGAAGACTTAGGCATAGTTGGGCTTGATTTGGAATGCATACTGTGACAATTTTGGAAAGCTCTCAGGGTATCTAAGATAATGAATATTCCTAGGACCAAGTATTGAAAAGGAAATTTGCCCTGAAGAATTAGATGGGCTGTATTACAGTAACAGAAACGTCATTTTGTGCTCCTAGATTTCTTTTTATTTGCGATTTCTTACATTCCTCTTATCATCTGAGATTCCTTCCCAAGAGCACCCTGAGATCCTAGATCCTATGTTGAGAGAGGATAAAAGTAGCATTCATACCAGGAAATTAAAAAAAAAAATGACTTCCAAAGTCATGCATCAGGAACAAGCTGACTCTGTCTTTTGTTCCACCATGTTTAGAGCACTGCAGACAATTATTGGTACTATATAGAGCAGTGGTTCTCAACCTTTTTAATGCCGCGACCCCCCCCCAACCGGTCGTAAGTCGAGGACTACTCAACTGGTGCAGCACCGTTTGCAGAATGGGACTTTTGGCAGGCTCAGCAGGGCAGAGACAGCCTGAACAATTCCTATTGGCTTTCAAAAGCCAATAGAATAAAAGGGAGTAGCACAGCTAAGGAAAAGGGGGAAAAATGGCGGACTGCGTTGTTTGGCAACCCCCGTGAAATGGTCGTTCGACCCCAAATGGGGTCCCAACCCACAGGTTGAGAACCACTGATATAGAGGCAGTTTTGTTTAGTGGTTAAGGCACCAGGCTAGAAAGAGGGAGACCAGCTGGGTAAGTTTGGGCCAGTCTTTTTCTCAGCCCAATTCATCTCAGAGGTTGTTGTTGTGGGGAAAATAAGAAGAGGAAGGTGAGCTGGATATATTCACCATCTTGTAAAAATAATAAAGGCAAGAGATAGATAGACGGACAGACAAACAGAAATTATAAGCATTTTAAGGGGTCCTTGTTGCTCTCTGAGCTTGCTTGTTGTTCTACAGACATTTCATTACCCAAACTAGGTAACATGATCAGCACCGATTATGTTACCCAGTGTGGGTAAAAAAAAAAATAAAAAATCTGCAAGACAACAAGCAAGCTCAGAGAGCACCAAGGATCCCTCATGTCAACCCTAAGCTACAAATATTCTCTTTATTTGTATAAACATTTTCCATTATTATGCTGTTAGGGGCAAAGTAATGGAGAAAGTATTCCTGATTTTATCTGTACAATAGTATCTTTACCACAAAACTCACACTTGAACATATTCTAGTGAATGGTGTAAGTTCAGAAGGCCCTATTTTATCCTGATAGGGAGGACAAACTATTCCAAAGGAAGCTGAAATTGATCAATCTGAAATAATTGAAACAGATGGTGGTGGCCAACAGGACTACTAATGCATAGGAAGGAAACAACAGAGAAATTGGTGTTTTCAGTCATTAAAGAATTTACTCCCTTTCTTGTGCATAGTTGATAACATATTTTGTTTCCTTTTTTAAAATGCAAAGTTTTGTAATTAATTAACATGGTTCAGTTTCTCTTTTCATCTATGGCAAAACTATAATGTCCATCATATCACTTAATAAAAAGTAAATAAGATGACCTACTGAACTATTATGAAATTTGTATTTGAGGAGTGTGCTGCTGTGTGTGATTTATGGCTTGTTTAGCCCAACCTTTCATATGTTTTATAAAGGAAGGGGAAATGGTTTGTGTGAGTTTCTAACTCCAGCAAAAAGCTACATATTGCAGTTCAGATGTAGAAAAAGAAATTAAACAGAAATTAAAGGGTTATGCCTTTTATAAACTTTCAATGTATGCTCAACAGTGAAGTGGATGTGTGATGATGATTATTAATACAGAATTAAGAGCTGCAACATCTATCATCTATCTGCAATAAGAACCAGTACACTGGAAAAGGTTAAAACCAAAGACAATATACCATCTGTTGTTTCACTAGTAGTAGGTGAAGTGTGTTTACAACAGTTATGCAATCCATCTAATATTTAGAATGTCACATACATTAATAAAGATTACTGCTTACATTTCTGTTCTGACCTAATATGTAAAATTATTTTTACAGCATAGTACTTTCTAGCTTTAATTTTAAGATACACAGTCATTTTAATTTTTTTTTTTCAGGGTACATAGGAAAAGAAGTACTGCAGGCACCATGCTCGGGA